AAATAAGATCTAAGTTTTAAGTTTTAGGGTCTTTTATAGTAAGATGAGGTTAAAATAGATTAAGGTAATTTAATGACAGAATATTATGAAAAATGGAAAGGATTTGCTGTGATAATTAACAACTAGGATACAAAAAAGGGAGGAGTAAGGAGGTCGATGAAATAAGGCAATGACAGTTAAGAATTTTGGAATATTGGATTTGTTTTTAAATTTTTGTGGTTTATTTTTGCTTTTTGATTGTCTTGTGTTACGTGTTTTGTTGTTACTTTTTGATTTTGATTTTTATCAATTTGTATTGCTTGATTGTGGTTTGTTTTTCTTTTGTTTTTTCTCTTTCTTTTCGTTTTTCTTGTAATTTTAAAATTCTTAATAAATATCATTTTTTTTTAAAAAAAACAACTTCCCTGAACAGGGCTGCCTTCAGATGTCTTCTGAATGTCAGGTAGTTGTTTATCGCTTTGACATCTGATGGGAGGGCGTTCCACAGGGCGGGCGCCACTACCGAGAAGGCCCTCTGCCTGGTTCCCTGTAACTTGGCCTCTCGCAGTGAGGGAACCGCCAGAAGGCCTCGGAGCTGGACCTCAGTGTCCGGGCAGAACGATGGGGGTGGAGACGCTCCTTCAGGTATACTGGACCGAGGCCGATATGAGCAACTCATATGAAGGAATTCTCTAAACTTATAGATTTGCTAACTTACTCGACCAAAGGAATTCTTCAGTGGTTATTTAGTCTAGGCAGAATTAATTAAACCCATATAATCCCTGCCAGATGTTTATCCGCTGCCCACTATACGACTCCTGACAGGTTTTAATTTTAATGCATTTCCAATTATGGGTTTTCTCCACCTCCCTAATACATCTGCACATACAAACCTCTTTGCGTGTGTGTGTGTATGTGTCTGTGTGTGTGTGTGTGTGTGTGTGTGTTGGCGGCAGAAGGACCTTTTCATTCTGGTTAACCTAAATCTTCCTTTCTGTAAATTCAGCAACTTGCTTCTGGCCTTACTTCCGTTGCCATGGTGAACAATTTATCACTAACCCCCTTTTATAACAACCTTTTACATAGCAGAATATGGTTATGTCTCCCCTTTCATACCCCCCACCAAGAAATAGCATGGCAAGTTCTTTCGACTCTCTCCCTAAAAAGACTCCTTCCTAAACAATGCATTTCACTGCATTCTTCTGAAACTAGGCTAGGCTACTTAAAAAGGCTTAAGTGTATGCCAAAACCAAAAATTATACTTGGGATGGGGCCCAACATTTACTAAGTAAGGGTTGGTTCTCAAATTTCACATTAAGGTGATTGTACAGATGGAAGAATATTATTTTTCAGGACTTATTTAACAGCCTTCCTAAATACCATTATTATTCCAATTTATTAGTCACTTGACACATAAGGAGCCTCCAAGTGAATTACAAAATTACAGAATTAAACAGTACCATATATATGATATACTTCCAGGGAACCCTAACTGCTATCTGGTGCCTCAGCTTTTGCAAATCAGAGAGCACAATTCGAATACCCGTAATCCTTTGTGGTCATAGTGAGCAAAATAAATCCTGCATATTACATGCTTAAGCAACTGTGGTTTGATTGTGTAATGAATCAATCAAGTTTGATTTATTAGTCACAGTTTCCATTCAACATCATAAAATGTGGTAAAAGCTTATTCAAAGCAATGCCAACCAATACTTATTAGGTACTCTGCACTGTTTGCAGCATCGTGCAATGATACAGCAGAAAGGGGAAGACACAGGCTGGATCTAGACCAGAGCTTTCCAAACTGTGTGTCACGACACATTAGTGTGTCGGCTGCAGTGTGTACGTGTGTTGTGTGAATGCTCCCCGTGCTCCTTCTAGGGCTGGAAAAGGGTTAGTTTAACCTCCGGTTTGCTAGTAAAACTGAATTACTGTGTTGTGGAATGATGTATGTCTAAAAAGTGTGTTACCAACATGAAAAGTCTGGAAAGCTCTGATCTAGACACATAAAAACAAACCACGTTTCAGGAAAACATTACCTCATAATGGGAAATCACATTGCCAAAAGATAGTAGGTAGTGACAGACACCAGGGATCAGGGGTGCCAACTTGAATAAAATATTGGCGGGGCCTAGGTAAGCCCCGTCCCATATAATTGATCACAAGGCATGGCACACACGTACCATTTGAATGGCAATGTCCATCAACTTGGGGGGGGCGTCCCCTCAAATATTTAATGGGGGTGGTAAAGGGTTCTCGGGACGCAGGTGGCGCTGTGGGTTAAACCACAGAGCCTAGGACTTGCTGATCAGAAGGTTGGCGGTTCGAATCCCCATGACGGGGTGAGCTCCCGTTGCTCGGTCCCTGCTCCTGCCAACCTAGCAGTTTAAAAGCACGAAGTGCAAGTAGATAAATAGGTACTGCTCCAGCAGGAAGGTAAACGGTGTTTCCGTGTGCTGCTCTGGTTCGCCAGAAGTGGCTTAGTCATGCTGGCCACATGACCTGGAAGCTGTATGCCGGCTCCCTCGGCCAATAAAGCGAGATGAGCGCCGCAACCCCAGAGTCGGCCACGACTGGACCTAATGGTTAGGGGTCCCTTTATCTTTACCTTAAAGGGATCTCAACCCCTAAGAGTTGACTCCTGTGCCAGGGATGTAGTGCCAGGGTCACCAAGCACAAAGAGGGATATACGCTTGAAGGAATCAAACCCAAGATTTGCAGAAGTACAAATAAATTTCTTAAAATAAAAATAAAAATGGGGCAAAGTAGCTCAGTGAGAATGAAGCATGCTCAGTAGCCACAGAATGTAGAGCCCCAGCTGATAAAGAAAAAGGGGAGGAGGGGGATGTTTTGCTTGCAGGGAGTGGCTGCTTGGAACTCTGAGTAAGAGCTCCCCTATAAGGGGCTATGATACAGTGCAACATTTTGTTGTTGGTCGCTCTGGTGTCGCTTTATTTGCTGTAAGATTCAAGAAGATTAATTCTAGCTGGCGGAATTTCCCTGTCTTCAAATACAAACACTAGGGGTGAGCAACCTACCAGCAGAGAAGACAAAGAAGAAGGAATTAAGGCCATTAAAGGTGGGGCGGGGGGAGAAAGAGAAGATATAAATCAGAGGAGCAAAAAAATAGAGGGAGGGAGACGAAGACAGCCCCCATAACCGCAGCACCTGCTCCCCACACATTGCAGTAGCAACAGCAAAACTATAACTACAGCCCCATCTTGTCCTTACAAAGCAAACTGTATTCTTTTTAAAAAGTAAGAAAGAAGAGGAAACTGTCTTCCTTGGTAGGTTACGGGGGGCGTGTTGGGAGGGGGAATCCAGCTATAGCTGCAGTGCAGGTCCCTTCTCCCCTCCTATAATCTCTGCCTTGTAAAGAGGACTGTGCAGGCATGAAAGAATTGGAAATCTTCTCCCTCGCTGGGATACCTGCTGCTTCCCATGTCCTTCTGGTCTTTGGAGTCTGCAGAACTCTCCTCTTTTGCTGCTGAGTAGTTCTCGTGCACAATAGCACACTACACTCCAGCCTGAGGAGACTGAGTCAGAAGCAGCTGGCAGGAGTGCACCACACAGCTACTGGGGGAAGCTGGAACTTTATGGGTGGTGGGTGCTGGTTAGGAACACCTCTATTTCATGCTAATAACTGTTCTGAGTGCTCACGATGGACTAGGTGTTGCCAGTCACAAGGAAACATGGCTTAATGTAGGATTCTTGAGCCTCATCACCTACCAGGCTACTTTCAATGGGAATTGCTAAATGCTGTCTCTACAAGGGAAGGGATTGTTTTAAAAAATATCCCCAAGACAGGAGTGGGATGTAGCAACATGCAGAATGTGTACAGACTTGCAGCTTGTGGCTGACAGAGACTGGAAATAGACTCCAGAGAGATTGAGCAAATGATCGGATTGTGATGACTGATTATTATGTTTGTATGTGTGGATAGAAAACAGGCTCTGGTTCTGAGGGAAGGCACAGTTCCAGAGACTGAAGCTGAAAATCCCGCTACCATTTGGACAGGCCTGGATAAATGGTATGAAGGAAATAAGACAAATATGAGAGAAGGACCTAAGTAGTATGTCTTACTATATAATAAAATTGTAAGGCTATCATCACATGGCAGTTTGTGGCCCTAGCAACTCTACCATGACAACACACCAGTAAGCAGGTGAGCTAGCAGGCAGGCAGCCCAGGCGAACTTTAAAAGGGGGTTTGGGCAGGTTATGAGGGGAAGTTTGGGGGAAGGTGGTGGGATGAGCTGGGAGCATAGGCTTTGGGTGACCTGTGAGAGGATAAGTGAAGGTTGCAAGTGAAGGAACATTACAAGTAACATAAGACTATGAGAAACTGCCTGCCCCTTACAGGAATTTTCAGCTTCAGCTTCCACAGCTAGGAAATTGGCTTAAAATATGAGTGTCTAAGGTTGTACCCTTATTAGCCTAACAGTTAATCTGGCTCTCTCTGGGATGGCAATCTGGAGAAAAGAATGACAGAGAAGTAAGTAAATCAGAAACAGTACCCCTCACAATAAATCTCTCTGTGGGGCAGTGGCTGGGACCAGAGGTCAACAGAGGGCTCACGGAGAAAAACTGGAGCAAAACTTTCAGAAAAAGTCACCAACGTGGCCTTTGCTTTCCCCTTAGTTTTAACTGGGACTGCTATTGCCTTCCATTGAAAGAAACCATTACTGGGGGTCCCCCCTTGTAACTGCTGGGAAGGGGTATATTCACTTCTTTGACATGTGATTTGGTTACCTTGCACAATTCATGTGAGCAGAGGTCTCTGGGATCATCCATCACTTTGCCCACTTCAACCCCCTGGCTTCCTTAAGGTAAATGGGAACCCTGATGGTTTATTTTTGAGGGTTCCCCTATTCCTGAAGCCGACTCTATGCCTACAGTTGTTTTAGTATCTGAAGCGGGGTGTGTGTGTGTGTGTGTACACACACACACACATGCAGAGAGAGAGACAGTATGTTGTTGTTTCAAATGAAATAATGGATTTTAGCATCCAAACAAGTCATGTTTTGTTTGGCTCTAAGTCACCTTTTTAATAACCCTGTTTGATGCTTCTGCACAGCAGAAGCGAATGAAATGCAATGAATGCAAAAAGTCAATCAAAAGTCTATTTCCTCTAGCAAATCCACTCAATTAATCTTTCCGGGTTTCTCTCCCCCACCTTCTTTCTTCTTTAAATAAACGTGAAAGCAACAGCTCACAAAGCTGGTCTTGAAAATCCTCCGCTGCTGCCTGTGTTTCCTCTCAGAGCTGTAGGTGTCAGTATAAACATGGCTTTGAGGTCAGGTGCTTCTGGGATGTCATTCGAACCCATTGAGCTGTCCACATTATTGAAGGAGTCGGCATTCAGATGTTCAGCATGCATGGGACATTGTCTGCTCGGCTGTTTGAAGCCCTGGCAGCAGCAGATGACATCTGGTGACTAATGGGCTCAGATGTGAAAGCCGTTCCCACAATGCTTTGGGCTGCAGCTGCTCCAAAACCACAGCAAGAAGCTGGAAACAGAGAGGAGAGGATCAGTCGAGGGAAAAAAACAAATCAATACCTCCTGATTTCAGAGGAAGTCAAACATGGCCCTGACTACAAATACATTTTCCCAACCTGGCCTTTCTGGGCAAATGAAAAAGAACCACACAGCTTACTGCATTGTGGTTTAGTTTATGCCACTCAAAAACACGCCCCTTTATTAAAATGACACACATTATGTGCTGCATGATAGTGAAATGAAGCCAGATTGTTTTTTCCATGAGGAAAATCTTTTCCACAAGAAGAAGATGCCTCTGAATTTCTCTTGGTGGAAAGAGGAAAAAAAAGGGGGTCGGGCAGGACCTGCTGCCGGTTTAGAATAATGTTTGAAGTGGACACATTTTGCTAAATGTTTAGAGGCCAGTTGATTACTGTTGAGGGGAATGGCAGAAGAGAATCTCCCCCTTGATCCGGCTGGCAAACTGGATGCTCATTTTATAGTGTCTCTTAATTAATAGCAAATAGATTACTAACTGGGACAGGTTTGGCAGTTTTGAAATGAACTATATGGGCTTCTGGTCTGCTTCCAGGATGAACGGAAAATACTGGTTCTGACTCTTAAAGCAGGGGCGAAACTAGGCTTTATTTCACCTGGGTCAAAGACCCAGTTTGGCACACACACCCATGTGCATTTGTGTACACACACACACACACACAGGCTAGGAGCCCCCATGGAGCACCTCTGCAGGCTTCACCTAGGGCAAAAAAAACCCTGGCTAGTCCCCTCCCCTCCCCATAGCTATGGCTCTGCTTCAAAGCCCAGAATGGCCTTCTTCCACATAAACCTTCCCAGACCCTGAGGCTGTATTCTCTCCCTGCCCACACAAATATTTTATTAAATTTTTCACGGAGCAATAAAATAATATTAACACCAATAGAAATCATAATAAAACACAAAATTATATGTACGATACGATACGATAATCTTTATTGTCATTGTCCCATACAAAACAACAAAATTGAAAAACTACATAAGACATTCAAAACCCAACAAGCCTGCTATCCCAGCTATCCCAACCTGGTTAGCCCCCTAAAAACTCTGATACCCCATTTTTAAATACAATATACTCCCATACAGACTCCTTACAATGCGTTTAAAACCAAAATTGCATTTGGGTAGAAACTGTTTCTTAGGCGTGTATATAGCCTACTACCATAAATGTACCTTAATCTTCACATTTAAAGAAGTGAGTCTTCCCAGCTCTCGCCTGAAAAAAGTTTTCCCTTTCCTCAGCCTTACACCTTGAGGGAAACTCACTCTGACCTGTCTCTACACAGGTCTCTCTCTTCTCTCCATCAACCCCTCTATATGTATCTTCATTTAACCGGACCCTGAGATTGTATTCTTTGAGATTCACCATCATCTGAGGTAGCGATCCTAGATAGGGCCTTGGAAGTGTTGGCACCCCAGAGGGTCTGATACTTTTACTTCCAGAGAACCTGATTGATGAGCATTCATTCGGATCACACTGCAGGGTGGTTGCATCAAGCAATTATTACCCCGTGCTTTCCAGGGTTCCCTGTCACTTTCCTTAGCACAAAACGTCATTGGAAAAAATCAGTTTTGTTGTACATGAGCACCAAATCTGCTTTCTCTGTGCAACCTGAATTTGCCAGTGTGTAATTGAACTGCATTCTCAAAGAGTGACAGTCTGGAAGTGTCTGGTGTTCCTTTATTTTTTATTACTGACACATCTTGCCATTACTAAAGCTCAGTAATATTCTGCTCTTTTATGGTTATAATGAGATGATTGTTGTTTTAAATAGTTATTTTACTTGTTAGCAGCTCTGGAGGCTTCAATGTTGGAAGAGTGGGGTGGAATTGTTGTTAAATACATAAGAATTAGATTCAGCCAGTTAAAGCAGAACTAACATAAGCACCTTCCTCAATTTTTTGCAGGCTGGGGCAAAATTTCTACAACCTATATTGTTGCATCAATTCGCAAATATATTTTAAGAAGTCATCATAAATAAATTCAGCCTTTTAAGGCAGGTTTTCTCACAACATACACAATTCTGCCTAATATGTGCAGTCCTGCAAGCACTTTAATATATGCTCTTTTATGCACACTTTCCTCTAATATATGCACTTTCTATAAATATTTAGGTTGGGGAACTGCATCATAAAATGCAGAGATGTGTGGATTTCAAAGGGCAGCATTTAGGTTCACATATTTTTTTTAGGAAGCATGAATTAGGCAGGTTCACATTAAAATTCAAACTGAATTGAATTTCTCTGCCATCCCTAATCAGCCTTTGTTTCTCGTACAGAACAGGGAAACTCATCCTTCACAATTGTTGCAGAATCAAAGGCAGAGGCATGGACTGGACTCAAATATTTTACATGTGACTGGCAATTTGTTTCTGATGCCAAGGAGAAACTATAGGAAGGCCTTCGTGCTATATGTGGAGGTAATTTGTGTGTCATGAGAAAAATGATGTCGCAAGCCACCTAGACATATGAGATGGGGAAAATAATGCATTCCTTTGGTAGGACATTAGGAAATGTTTAGAGCTAGTGTTGAAAGGCAGGTAATTTCCTTAGCTCCCGGCCACTCCACCTCCAAAAATAAATCAGTATTTTCGATTCGAGAGCAATACCAAAACAAGTAAAACCAGAAATGGAATGGCAGGAAGGAGATCCCACGCAGACGTTTGCACCATTAAGTGCTGAGACAAAGGGGAAAGAGCTCGTGTCAGATAGTGGACAGTGTCAAACAATGAATGGGAGATTGGGTTTCAGCTTGCCACTCAGCCATGGACTTCACTTGGTCAGTCCCATTCTCTCTGTCTCTCCGCCTAGCTGCTTCACAAGGTTTATTTGTTTAGGATGAAATGTGAAGAAGGAGAGAGAGACTGTGCAGGCTTCCCTGAGCTCATTGAGGAGAAGAGCAGAATAAAAACATAATAGTCAAGACAGGGGGCTGTAATTGTCCCCCCTCCCCTTCTCCTTATGAAACAAGCCTTCCCTTGTTTTGGAGAGTATTTGGCACCCAATGGTGAAAGTGTGTGAAACTGTTTGCAGTGGACGGGTATCAGGGAAAGAGTGAACATGCTGTTTTGCGGAAGCGAATGGGTCAGTAGACTCTCCTGCACTGAGCTTAGCACAGAAAGGGGTGGTCCCCATTGCTTTAGCACTGGGGGCATCAGCTCTTCCACGTTCTCCCAAACATAAGCGGATCAGAGGAGAAAATGGCCACAAACACCCACAAAGATGTGTTCAAGACTGGAAGGAATAAGGTTGTTTTTTTGGTTTTTTTTGCAAACGTTTTTATGCTCTCCACACCTTTTGCAGTGAAAACCAAACCTCGCGAAAATAAAGCAAAGGGCGCTGAAAAACAATACATCTGAGGGACGCATACTGCTGTCTCTCGCCGCTGCCATCTCATAGAAAAGTGCAAAGGCACTTCTTATAGTAGTTACTGGCAGTTCCCAGCTCTCATGCAGAGAAATCGCAGCAAAATGTAGGCAGACATCCCTAACACTACCATGCCCTTAACTGTCATCATGTATAAAGTGTACTGTGTGGACAGCCACTTAGAACAAGTGTGAAATAAATGTTTGAGAGACAGACAAGATATAAACAGAGGTATCTTGAAATAAAGATTTCTACTTGCACCTGCATCACACACAGCTTAACAAAAGAAAACAATTAGTTCAACCTGTATTTTCAGGCCATTTTTTGGTTGTTAGTTTTGGCTGCTGAGACACTGAAAAACAATCTCTGCCCTTTGCATATCAGTCGTCACAGATCCCCTCTGCTCCAGGCCTCTACTGAGACCACACCATCAACAAAGGATTCCACTTCTCCCAGAAGGTAAAGGCAGTGGGTTGGTCATACTCAGAGTAGATCCATTGAAATGATTGAACACAGCTTACTTTCAGTTGGTCTACTCTAACTTAGCTGGATTCAACCAAGTGACACCTTTCACCAGGTAGCATGGGGCTTCCTTTGAAGGTGACCCAGAAACTACAACTAATCCAGAATGCAGCAGCTAGACTGGTGACTGGGAGTGGCCACTAGGACCATATAACACGGGTCCTGAAAGACCTAGACTGGCTCCCAGTATGTTTCCAAGCACAATTCAAAGTGTTGGTGCTGACCTTTAAAGCCCTGAACAGCCTCAGCCCAGTATACCTGAAGGAGCGTCTCCACCCCCATCATTCAGCCTGGACACTGAAGGGCCTTCTGCAAGAAGTGAGGTTACAGGGAACCAAGCAGAGGGCCTTCTTGGTAGTGGCGCCCACCTTGTGTAACGCCCTACCAGCAGATGTCAAGGAAATAAACAACTACCTGACTTTTTGAAGACGTCTGAAGGCAACCCTGTTTGGGGAAGTTTTTAATGTTTGATGTTTTATCGTGTTTTTAACATTCTGTTGGGAGCCACCCAGAGTGGCTGGGGAAACCCAGCCAGATGGGCGGGGTATAAATAATAAATTATTATTATTATTATTATTATTATTATTATTATTATTATTAATTGAATTTATATCCTTCCCTTCCTGCCAAAGGAGCTCACAGTGGCAATCATCGCCCTTGAGGTACCTCTAGGAACTAGACTCTGTTCTAGAAAGATAGCCTTTTTTTGTTGAAAGGTATTTGTTGATATGGAGATCCAATACGTTTTCCTGATGATTAGCTAAGGAGTTTAAGGGACACCCGTCCGCCTCATGGGAGCTGGCTGGACAGGAGAAGCGAGGTCTGAATGCAGCCTTCTGCCCTAGCATTCCACATATAGAAGCTAACTGGACTAGCAGCTGCATGTTAAATACTGGCAACAGATAGCGTCCTCCATGGCACCTGAGGGCAACAACGTCGTTTGGGGAACACAAGGTGGGCTGTGTGGCCTGCATAGTTCTGTGCTCCAACAGAAGGCAGGTATGGCAAGGGCACTTAGGAGGAACTGTTGGGTTGGGCGTTGCTCCTGGTGCCCTCCCCCTACCATTTATCACTTGAGGTGGTTGCCTCACTCTGCGCAATGCTAGGGCTGGTCCTGTCAACCAGCTGTTGCATGATCTCATGTAACCTGGCCCCAGATACTTGGCAATCTCAAAGCCGACTGCCTGTGGGAGTGTGGTGTACCAATGAGCTCATAAACCTGTCTTCAACAGATGGAAGGGTTTACTTCCATGGAAGTACTGCTTCCAAGTGGCCTTCTTTGCTTCTGCAGGCAACAAGAAGGGAATTGTTCGGTGTCTCAATGGGCCTGAAACCCCAGTGCCCCTGCTTCTCTCCTGCAACATAGCGTGGAGCAGATTTCATGATTGTCTGCATGGTGCTGTAGTAATTCACACAAACAGATGAAGAAGGAGACTTATCATCCAGCATTCACTGGGTGAAGATGAGTATATGTTTGTTACATTATTTGCCACTGACTCACTGAATGTAACAATGAGTGATGGAGGGAAGCAACCAAGATATTTCCAGGAGGTCTGGCAGTACATCTTATTCCTGCTATTTTACTGCCTGAAACCACATTCGCAAACGACAGCTTCTTTTTAGTTCTTTCACACAAAATCTCATTCTTCAGCTGTGCTCCTTTGCTCACTTACCTGGGAGTAAGTACCACTGAATTCAACAAGGCTTACTTATGAGTAGACATATACAAGATTGCACTGCTAACCGTTTTGTTGTTTCATGAAAGATGCTCAGATATAGACACATCTTTCCCCCTTGATTAGGGTTGCCATATTTCAAGAGCTAAAAATCTGGACACAAAAAGCTGTAGAGCTGTTTTAGGGCAATTTCTCGATAGCTCCTCTGTCACTGCCGAGCCTGAGCCACCCACACCAGAGCCCGAGCCCGAGTCACTGCCGCCCGGACACACAAAAAAATGTTTTTTAAAAAACCCCAAATCCAGGACATTTGCTTTCAAATCTATAATGCCCCCCAGATGGGCATGTAGGACCCACAAAAGCAGACATGTCCAGGAATTTCCAGACATATGGCAACCTCATTCCCTCCAACATTTCTCCGATGAAAATAGGGACATCCCATTCAATAACAATAATTTTACTATTTATCCTCCACACAACTTATTGGGTTGCCCCAGCGCACTGGGCAGATTCCAACATATATAAAAACATAATAAGACATTTAAAAAACTTCCCTATACAAGATTGCCTTCGGACAGCTCAGGGGTTGGATAACTCCATACCCTCCAACATTTTTCCAATGAAAATACGGACATCCTAAGGAAAAGTGGGACATCCCAGGATCAAATCAGAAACTGGGACGGCTTCTCTAAATCAGGGATGTCCCTGGAAAATAGGGACACTTGGAGGGTCAGCAACCCTACCCTTGATTTATATGGCATGTCCATTATTTGGACATGTATATTTGTGTACATTAAGACAAATGATGTCCGCTGCCAAAAGCCAGAAATGAGCACTCAACTTCCAGTTCTGCAGATCTTCAACCTTGTAGTTTTCATGTTGTAAACTCCTGAGCACAGGGACCAGCTGGGTTTTTCTTTTGCTTATGCAATTTCATAAAGTGTCACCTGTAAAGATGGTACTGTATAACACTAATACACAACTGTTATAAGTTGCCATGCAACCTTTCTGAGGCCCATACAAGAAACATCATTTACAGGACAGGGACAAGGTTCATGAAAAACTTAAGTCTGGGGACCCAGGTCTCCAGAACTTCTGAAAGTCAGTAGAGATAGGGCAGATGAGATTTAGAAGAGAGAAATGGCGAGCAGTGGGATACACAGTGGGCAGGAGAAGAATTAAGCATCCTTTTACAACTTGCCACTTCTCCACTCCTGTCCTACATATAACCCTATTCTTTTTAGTAGAAGCTGGTTTCCATACCCAATTCTGCTTTCTGAAGGTCTAGTGAAGGCCTCAACAAAAATGGGGCAGAGCAGACACATAGCAATCGAAATGAAGACCATTTGCAGCAGAATGCAGACTGACCTCTCTCAGCTGCTTGGAGCAGACCTGGAACTTAAAAGAAATCAGCAACTGCCACAAGGATTGCCTCATAAGGCTACAGATGATCTCTTTGGTATCTTCCTCATTTCGCCATATCTTCATTTTCCATTCTTCCCTTGTGTCTCTCTCAGGCCAGCAGATTATGTCCTCATGGTGAGGAGCTGTTATGAAGCCAGTCACAAGGTAAGTTTTATTTGTCTTTCAGAGACCATTGTGACCTCATGTTGAACTCACACTGCTTGTGACCTCATACTGGGATGTCTCTGATGTAACAGAACCTGGCATGAATCAGAACTGAGCCAACTCCCAGAGGCCTGTCCAGTTTGAATTGAGAAGTGTTTTGTTTTTAAATCTTCTGATTCATTTATAAGGGGAAATATATGTTTCCAAAAGTTGCAAGGAACTAAGATGTTTCACAGTTTCTTACTTTGGCTTGGATCCGGAGTTCACATGAGCAGACCCTGCCTGCGCAGTGGGCCTTTCTCCTCCTCTCCTACCAACTACAGCCCCTGCACACCCCTCCCTGCAAGATGGTCAGAGGATGTGGCTTGGCAGGGGGTCTGCATTGCAAAAGAGATGGAAATCAGGTGGAGGCAGCTTTCATGAGTAGAGGTGAATGATCTGTCAGTATTGGGCTATTGCCGCAAATGCTTAGAAAGATTACTTAGAAAGATTCTCAGAAAGTTACCGTTCCCAATACACTTCCGAGCACAATAAGTTACATTGGCTCCTAGTACGTTTCAGAGCACAATTCAAGGTGTTGATGCTGACTTTTAAAGCCCTAATGTCCTTGGCCTGGTATACCTGAAGGAGCATCTCCACCCCCATTGTTCAGCACAGACACTGAGGTCCAGCTCTGAGGGCCTTCTGTAGTTCCCTCACTACAAGAAGTAAAGCTACAGGGAACTAGGAACACCCTCCCAGCAGATGTCAAGGAGATGAGTAACTATATAACCTTTAGAAGAGATCAGAAGGCAGCCCTGTATATGGAAGCCTTCTAATGTATAATGTTTTATTATGTTTTTATATCTGTTGGAAGCTGCCCAGAGTGGTTGGGGCAAACCCAGTTAGATGGGCAGGGTATAAATAATAATTATTATTCTTTGGTGATAACTCATAGCCGAGTAAGATTGTCTTCCATGAATATGGTCTTAACAGTGTGTCTGTAGGTGACTGTGGAAGCCAATTCTGGATCCGCAGTACCTTCCTCAGTGGGGACATAGGTTTCCAGATGGGAGTTGATCACGGTGAGGATTTGCCAAATGTGCCTTCCTCTTAACTTTTTTCTCCCTTTCATCCTGAGTTTGTGCTTCCTCAAAGTTCATGACGCCTTTGGTAGAAGCTATTCTCCAACTGAAGCACTCACAGGCCAGTGTTTCCCAGTTGCCAATGTTTATACTACTTTTTTTTAGATTTGCCTTGAGAGCATCTTTAAACCTCTTTTGTCGACCACCAGCCTTTTCCATTCTTAAATTGGGAATAGAGTAGTTTCTTTGGAAGACGATAATCAGGCATCCAAACAACATGACCAGTCCAGTGAAGTTGATGTTGAAGAATCATTGCTTCAACACTGGTGATCTTTGCTTCTTCCAGTACACTGGCATTAGTTCACCTGTCTTCCCAAGTAATATGTAAAAACGGTCAGAGACATCGTTGATGGAATCTTTCGAGGAGTTAGAGATGGTGTTTATAAGTGGTCCATGTTTCACAATCATACAGTAAGGTGGTAGTACAATAGCTTTGTAAACAAGCATTTTGGTTTCCCTGCAAATGTCCCAGTCCTCAAACAATCTACGCTTCAATCGGGAGAAAGCCGTGCTTGCAGAGCTCAGGCGACGCTGGATTTTGGCATCAATGCTGGCCCTTGTGGAAAGATAACTGCCTAGGTAAGAAAAGGATAAACATTTTCTAACATTGCACCATTAAGTTGGATTTGTGGCGCTGCGGGACGGGGGGTTGTTTTGTGCTTGTTGGTGCAGCAGTTTGTTTTTTTTGGATATTGAGCGATAGGCCAAGCTTTTCACGAGCTTCTGCAAAGATATTTAGGATGGCTTGAAGGTCATCACCTGAGTGTGCACACATAAATAATAAAATGATGATGATTATGATGGTGGATGTTGGAGGATATGTGAGTAGTGGTGTGCTGGACCACTCAGAAGCTCTCTGTGATAGATTTGTAAAGCCTTTTTAGGACTAAGTTGCCCACATCAGCTTAGATTGACACCATAGTACAAGTCTAGACGTATGGCAATTGTGGCACTGTGTGACAGTAGCTCCCTTCTTATCTGTTGGCCCACTACCAGAGAATATCATTGGGAGACTATTGCTTGGCCCTGTGCCAGTTGACCTAGGGGATACTGCAGGGTTCCATCTTGTCCCCCATGCTAGTCAGCGTGTCTATGAAAACATTTCAGTGAAGATGAATGGATATGTCAGTTTTGTTTCCCCCAGCTTCTCATTTGTCCAATTTTAAATTCAGACCTCCACATTTCTGCAGCAATATGTGATTTTTTTTTAATCTTCATGAAAAAATGTCTGCATTTTAGTTTGAATTTCTTGTAATAAGCAGGTTTTTGAATGCTCTTTTCCTTAACGTAACTCAGAAGCTGTGCTTTTGGCCTGAGGAGCACTGTTTCCTGTGCAAAGTAGCAGCAGCACACAAGGTGCTACTTCTGAGGTAAAACAGTGCAGTGGACCAGGTTGAGCCAGCTGGTAGGCCCAATATAACCCATGAACCAGTCCTAGACCTAGACCATAGAGTTCAACTCAGAGTTTTAACTCACATTACATTGGCCCAAGGACAAGAATGGTCTGAAGCATAGCTGAGGCATTACTTCCCCATAACAGTATGATAATATTTTAGATGGTATGAAAGATTTACTTTTGGAGATCTCTGTTAAGAATATCTGAAAAGCCATTGCAGATTTGTATTAAATTACAATAGAAATACGACAGGCTTGTACACTGTTCTCTCTCTCTCTCTCTGCTGTGCCAAATGGATTAATGTTATGATAATGAATACCCGAGGAATTAAGTGTGATTTGTCACTTGTAAAACGTTGCCCACCACTGTAATCCATCACTGCTTTGTGGCAACGAAGGTTGATCTGTCAATGAGATTGCAGAACAAGATGGTAATATCTTCACAGTATCTTTCTCTCTCCTCTTAACAAAGAATTTTAATTGTACTTATCCAGGTGAAATCCTGTAGTCATTCAACCAAACCAAGGCTTAATACGCTTTATTTTAAGTCACGTAGATCTCCCAACCTGCAGTAACGTCCTTCCCCTCAGGTTTTATTTTTTTTGGCCATCTTATATCCTAGTAACCGTCATGCATGACGATCCCGATCTTCTCTGCAGTGTGCAGTGAGCAGATGGAATGGTCAGTGATTCAAAATGTGAAATACTGAAAAGGTCAAAATCCAACAGGATGCTGCTGTCGGTTTCATCTGTGATCTCTTGTTCTCGTATCAAAAGTCATCATAAGGACAGTAATGAGAACATCATAAATCTAGTTCTCTCACCTAGAGGCCGATGGCAAAGGATGAGTGAGTTCGTAGCGATAAAGAAACTGAATCTGCTGCAGTTCTTTATGGGGAAGAGGACTGCTACCCACATAATCACAGGAGCCTGACCGGATCAGAACAATGGTGCATGCAGTGCAATATCTTTCATCTGATAATGACCAGGTCCAAACGCTTCAGGACAATTTAAGAATATGGAGTTACAGCATTCATTTCCCAGGCTGATCTCATGGTGGAATTAGGAACACCTTGATTCCCATCCAAGGAAAATTGCACTTATACTCTATTGAGATCTTGTCTAGCACATATTCATATAGATCTGCACAGTATCTCAAACCCCATACAATCTTCCAGGCATATATGGTGGCCCACCAGGAACTTAACAAACTTGTTTTTCTTCCGGCTTGTTGTCAGGCATCCAGCAGGTATGGGCAAAATTCTGCTGGCCTGATGGAGGGCATGATCCAGACCCACAGAGTGGTTCAGTCCACCATCCTGATTCAAAACGGTGTCCAGCTGTTTCCAAATATAGACAAAACCCCACTCAACCAGCAGATCAGATGTTTAGAGCATGGCCCTTTCTTACTATCATCCCCCAAATAATTCGCAAGGCAGAAAACCCATTTTTACTCAGTATGTTAAGTGTTTGGTGAACAATACAGGGGTACCTCTGGTTACGTACTTAATTCGTTCTGGAGGTCCGTTCTTAACCTGAAGCTGTTCTTAACCTGAAGCACCACTTTAGCTAATGGGGCCTCCTGCTGCTGCTGCACCGCCGGAGCACGATTTCTGTTCTCATCCTGAAGCAAAGTTCTTAACCCGAGGTAATATTTCTGGGTTAGCGGAGTCTGTAACCTGAAGCGTATGTAACCTGAAGCATATGTAACCCGAGGTACCACTGTATACAGCAAAGCAACTTCCGCAATCTGCATGCTGATTCCACTTAGGACCCCTCCCCCCCACGTTTTGTGAAGCTGGTGATATGATGGACAGGGAAGGTTGGGATCAAACAGGTCTATATAGCCTCCGGAATTTTTAGGTAAATAGCTTCCCACATACACATAAATAACAGATTTTGGTTAGGCCTTATCATCTGTCAGGAATAGGGTCAACTGGCCAATGGGGCAGCTACCTTTTGTCCCCAAGGATGCCACAGAGGATGATGTGAACTAGGTCTTTGTGACATCGTGCATTGTGGTGCTGCCAGGTTGTTAAGGGCAACCAAGTCACCTCATTTCTTATTGTGGGAGGGGGAGAGCAAAAGCTTACTCACCTAGTCTTTAAAGGTAAGTCTACCCCCAGTCAAAAGTTAATAGATCCACACACCCAAATTGATAATAATAAAAATTGGGGTTCAGCATTCCCAAAAAGTCATGACCAAGTCTAGGCAGAATGCTTTGGCCCAGCAGTAATCTGAGGGCACATCTGGGGTGGGAGGTATAGCTCTCCTCCCTCCACTCCAGAAGTTGAGAATAGCTCCTGTTCCTATATATGCACAGCCCTATACCTTTATCTGCATATCCCCCCTCTGGGGTTTTGTTTCTTGGTCATACCAGAGTGTGTGACAGAATGTTGAGAGCTCACTTTTATACATAAGAGATTGCATTATTGAACAGAATCCACACAGCAGGGCCTACTGTGTTCAATAGCATATAAGCAGAAGGAAAAGATAGATAATCTCTTTGCATTTTTTTTAAAGAACGGAGACAATCGATGAATACAACAGGCAGGGGAAGCACAAAGAGACAACAAGGCAGTGTTAGCCAGAGGTTTCTGCACAATGGTTGCCTAGCTGTTGTCAGGTTTTAGAGCAAAGTGTGGAAGAGGATCTCTTTTCTGCTCTCAAAGTAGCCCACAGGAGAGGCACCAGCACAGAGTCTGGGGCTCAATAGAGTTTCATCTTGGGGAAATCATGGCTGATATGCTACTAAAAGCAGAGCTGACTTTAAGTTCGGGTTTTCGTTTTGCAAAATGAGTTCTTAGGAATGCTGTCCCGCACCCGCTTTTACAACACCCTCTCCCCATCCCCCCAGAAAGCATCTCGTCCCACAATTCTCATTCCCTTTTAACAAATAACAAGGTTGCCAGAGTTGGAGTGTTCATAGCATGAATGTAGTTACCGTTTGCTCGATGTGCTATTTGTAGCTAGGAATAGCTGCATTTGAGAAAACTAGTCTCTTGTTAGATGATGAAAAGAGGCATACGGAGATGTCGGCATGGCATCGCATGGGGTGCTGGAGCAAAATGGTGGGCTTTCCTTACTAACATTACATCACTAGAAGGTTTGCATGTGAGGCTATAGCTGCAATCCTATATGAGGAGTTACGCTGCAGTCCTAAACATACTGACTAGGGAGTAAGCCCCTAGTATTAAGGTAGGGGAAGGGACACAAGCAGATTTAGATGTACAGTGGTACCTTGGTTTGCAACTGTTTTGGATTACAACCGTTTTGGATTACAACCACGTCAAACCGGAAGTGTGTGTCCCTTTTTTTTGGATTACAACCCATTTTTAGGGGGAGGCCCCACTGGCGAAAGCACGCCTTGGGTTTGGTTTACCACTGGACCTCCGGAACGGATTATGGTTGTAAACCAAGGTACCACTGTATTTGATTTATGTATTGCTTCACACATAGGAAGTCTTGAAGTGATTTATAGGGCCAACATACAATATGCAATGGAAACCTATTAAAAGAAAAGCGAGTATACTAAGAGCCTTCATCCACAAAAATCACCGACAACATAAAATAACCGCCCAAACCAAATATAAGCAACCCAAAAGCCAGGCCACTAGCGCTGATCAAGTGCTATCCTTAAGGTCCTGAGTGAAAATGGACCTTATGTCAATACCAGAACTATGAATTGGTTCAGAAACAAGTTGGTAGCCAGCACAAGTGGGGGCAAACTGTACTTATATGTCCAGATTGTCTAGTACTGGTCAGCAGCCTGTCTGCAGCGGTGGACTTGGGTACTGTGGCACCCTGTGTGAGGCCACAATTGGGTGCCCCTTCCCCAGTCCTCACGCTGCCTTCCCAAAGGTGGATAAGGAGGTGCCTGGCTATGGGAAGGAGGCACGAGGGCTCTGTCAGGGTCCTGGAGCCCTCCCACCTCCTTTACCAAAGCTGGGAAAGTGCTAACTAGGCTTTGGGAAGGAGAAGGGAGGACTCTACGCCAGTGTGGTGTAGTGGTTAAGAGTAGTAGACTCGTAATCCGGTGAACCGGGTTCGTGTCTCCGCTCCTTCACATGCAGCTGCTGGGTGACCTTAGGCTAGTCACACTTCTCTGAAGTCTCTCAGCCCCACTCACCTCACAGAGTGATTGTTATGGGGGAGGACGGGAAAGGCGATTGTTAGCTGCTTTGAGACTCCTTAGGGTAGTGATAAAGCGGGATATCAAATCCAAACTACTACTCCTCCCCCTCCTCCTCCTCCTCCTCCTCTTCTTCTTCCCAAAACCTCGCACCTCATGTACAGGGCTTTGAGATGGCGCCCCCTCGGCTCAGCACCCTGCGTTTGCTCCCAAAAATCCACCCTAGTGTCTGCTACAGTTTCCAAACTGCCCTCAAGGGCAGCCCAACAACACACCACTGTAATCTAACCGAGAAGTTACCACCGTATAGACCTCTGGATCTAGGCTATATCTATCCAGATAGGGTCACAGCTGGGCCACCTGCCCTAGCTGGTAGAAGACGTGCCATTCCAGAGGGGCCTCTTGCACCTCAAATAACAAGGATGGATCCAGGATGCCCCCAAGCTGCACACCTGCTCCTTCAGGGCGGTGCATGATCCTATCTAGCTACTGATCTTTCATTATTTCGGAGATCAAGGGATCTGGGATTAACTGGGTCTGCTCTGTGACTATTGTTGGGGGATCATGGGATATGAAACAGTATTTACAGGGCTATTGTAATGATTTGGACTTACCATTCAGGCCCAAACACAGATTTGTACGGAATTTTGTTGCTGATGTAGCAGCACATTTTGGCTCTCCTTCAGAGCCATGAGCTCTTAAAAGTTCACCTCAAAACACTGGTGGAAAATATTAAATGACAGCCTCTCTGCTTTCTCTCCAAGCCAGTGATGCATTCCATACTGCTTCTCAAGGTAATAATCCTTCTGCCGGTCACATTAGGAAAGATGGAAGTATTAGTGGATATTTCCCCCCACCCCTACCCCCGATAATGGAAGATGGCTTCATTAAGTTGTTAGGATGAAGCCATTAGTGTTTATGTTGCTCTGCAGAGTAACATAAGCAAAAGACAAGTCCACGTCCTCAGGAGCTTACAGGCTAAAAATACACCATGATAGGGAAGGAAGACAACAGAGGCAAGGCTAACAAGGGATAAGTGCCAGAAAGCACAATTACATGTAATGGGGCTTTGTTTTGGCTGGGGATAAATACTAAGGCGTCACAGAAGATATGGGCTTTGAGCTGAAGACTGAAAGAAGAGAGGAAAGGTTGTCAGAACGCAGAATTCCTCCTGAAGTTTCAGCTTCTTACTCCCCTTCTGAGAAAGCCTGCTCATGCGTTTCTCCAGAGTGAATGCAAGGAAGATGGAGCAGAGCTATGCCTCCCCCTTCATCGCATGCCATGCTGTGCTGACCTCACTTCCACCACCTACATATTGAGCATGGCATTTGCAAAGGGGGAACCTATACCTGAATGCGTGACCTCCTGTTTTGTGAAATGCCCATATGCCACCCAGCAGCTCATGCGCTCCAAGACATCCATGTTCAATGCACACACATTGGAGCAGCATAGTGCGGCATGCAATGGCTCAGGCCAGGCTGATTTACCATTCACGTGGAGAAACACATGAATAGGACTAGAATCATCAGGAAAAGGTGTGGAAAGTCTAGGAAAGGAGCCAAGGCCAAAAGCTTTTGCTGTTAGCTCCATTCCTATGTTCATTAGGCTCCATCCTAAGCCACCAGGTGCTGCCCTCTGACTAGAGGTAGGGGACGAATTGCATTCAGTTCACGTTTAAAGGAGAACTTTCCCAATTTGCACTTTCTGAAGCTACAGTCATACCTCATGTTACATTTGCTTCAGGTTGAGCGTTTTCAGGTTGTGTCCCGCGGTGACCCGGAAGTACTGGAAAGGGTTACTTCTGGGTTTTGCCACTTGCGCATGCACAGACGTGCAAAATGACGCCACACGCATGTGCAGAAGTGGCGAATCATGACCTGCAGACGTGGGTTGTGTTCTGCTCATGTTGCGAACGGGCCTCCGGAACAGATCCCATTCGCAACCAGAGGTACCACTGTATATGCAAACTGAAACACAGCCGTTCCACTGAAATTTGCACTTCTCTGAATTTTGTAATGTGGTTCTCTAGCCAAGCAGTGTGTGCCAAAACTGCATATGCTGAGCTAAGGTGTTCATAAAAATGCATGTATCATTGAAAATAAGACAAAATTTATTATATTGGGGAAATGGCTTTGTAAAATTGCATACAAGATGCACACAAAAGCTAAAATTGCATACAAAAATGTATATGAGGATAAATTTCCACTAAAATACTGATACATTTTCATGAGGACTTCTTTCTTTCCTTCTTTCTTTTAAAAAAGGTAAACTGATGTGGAAATATGGAGAATGGAACTTAAATGAGAAACTTGAAAGAAAATGGAACTGACAGATTCGCCCAATCCTACCTCTGACCCAGTCGGTGCCATCCCTTCCTTTCACCATGCTCTACTAGGCTTCATCTTCTGATGTATCCTCCATCTACCCCTTGGGCTCTACTCCCTGAATCTCCAGGCCTAAGGTTCCTGAAAGGGGCAATGGTGGGAAGGGATGTACTCAGGGTGAGAGTTCCGGGCATAAGGAGCGACAAGAGGAAATGAGTGCAGTTCCTAGACAAGACCTTTGAATAGCTCTACTGTGATAGGACTTGGAAGCGTGAAGATCATTATCAGGATATGTGAGTGGAAAAAAGAAGGGGAGTGGCATAGGGGAGGCTTTTAAAGGATGCACCAGGAGTTTGTTCTGTATGAGCTCCTCTGCATTACTGCGAATGTTCCCTTCTACTCTTGAATGTTCCCTAATTAGTCATTTGAGGGGGGAAACTTGAAGAAGGAAAAGCACAAAGTGAGAGCTATGCATAATTTACAAAACTGAACGCTTCCTTTTAGGTTAATGGCATTGCAGCTCGTTTCTCCCTCCCCCTAAGCCTCTGGCAAGAACCTTCCGCCTTCCTCATTTTTATCACTTCATTTGGAGTTGTGTCCCTCCCATCACCTTCCAAAAAACTGGGGAGACTCTCTTTTCCTTATGGCACTACAAAGTACCTTTTACTAATATACCATCTTCTCTTTCTCTGTCTCTCTTTGCTACTTTGCGCAGACCAGGTTAAAAGTCTGGTTTTTGCAGATGCCCTGAAGAATGTTGTTGAAGTGCCTTCCTAGAAACCAGCACGAATCAAGGATGTGAAGATATTGGGGGGGGGGGGGAGACTTTGGGGAGGGAAGGAGAGCCTTCCTCAAAAGGTTTTTAAAATAACAATTTGCATCCTCAAGTAATTCCCAACTCTCCCTGGCAACCATTCATTTCTTCCAACCGGCAGAAATCTGCAATATGAGAGTGGATTGGCTTCTTTTTCCCATGGGGCCATGTATCTCTTCATCCGCCGCCTAGGGTAAAAAGCAATGCATACGTTTACAATATAAATGTGATTTAATCGACCTCCCTGTCAGCAAGAAATGGCAAGCATATCAAACAAGACCAAGATGTTAGGAGAGGGAAAATGGGAGGGGGGAATCATAAATTATTGCTGTGATGAGTTTCTGAGCTGGGGGTTTTTTTTGTGGGTGGGTGGGGGAGACTACTGGATGATTTTGTGTAAGGCTTTTCCCCGAAACAATAATTAAGATAATTCTGTATGACAAGGAGAAAAATGTTCAGCTTTGTATGAAATGTGCTTTATGTTTAGCAAGCTGAAAGCTCTCTGTATTGATTAGAATTCCCCACAGCCCAGCAATGCAAAGCTAAAATTAATTGAACTGCGGTCCATCTCTTTTCCCCGAATCCTTATTTACTGGATCCTGTGTGTGTATCTTGAGCTGAAAATTGATAGGTTCCTTTGTGGCGAGTGTGCGTGTCTGTGTTTGTGTACACCAAAGCTGTCAGAAGCATGTTCAAGGCCGGCCCTATCAATAAGCAGCACAAGGAAGCCCGCCTCAGGCGAGGGATTTGGGGGTACTATTAAAAGGCAGCAAATAGTCAATTATTTGGTTTGTTGTTATATTTTCACCACCAGGGGAAGACCATTCAGATTTCTTTCCGCCTTCTTCTTTTGCCTTGGGCACCAATATGTTTCTGGCCATCTCTAAGAACGCAGGATCCTAATATCCACCCTCTCACAGCTAAGAGAAGCACAACCCACTGGAAAATATTCCCGCCCAAGCCCCTTGAAGTGAATGGGAGCCATGCAAGGAGCACAATAGTTACGCAGGCTGACTTTCAAACAGTTTGGATGGAAGGCTAGGTTGCCTGCCTCTTCCACATCAGCAATTCCAACACACGAGAGAAAGTCGTTCTTGTGCCTGAAAGCAGAAAGGAAAATATACAGCATTTAACCAGGTTGGAGAAAGATACATAAACCACATTTTTTTAAATTTATTGTATGCTACCCTTCCTCACGTGAGAACCCAGGGCGACTTACAACAAAGATGCACTTGCACTTTTAAGGGACCCCCATTTGCAAATGGTCCCCCAAATGGTCCAATGACAATTTATGGAAGAGTGGAAACTTTGGGGGAGGGATTGAAATGAAATTGCTGGCAGGATTTGAAATCTGAGTGATGGAAAGAAATGATAATACAGTGGACGCTCAGGTTGCGAACGTGATCCATGTGGGATGCACATTCGCAACCCACGTCTGCGTGTCTGTGCACGCACAGGTTGCGATTTGGCGCTTCTGCGCATGCGCAAAGAGCGATTTAGTGCTTCTGCGCATGCGCGGCCGCTGAAACCCGGAAGTAACCCATTCTGGTACTTTCTGGGTTTCGGTGGTCCATAACCTGAAAAAACACAACCTGAAGCTTCTGTAACCCGAGGTATGACTGTATACGAAATACAGGACTGCATATTAGATGAAATGTGCAATGTAATAGAGGAATATGTATTAGATTAAATGCGTGACATTATGCAGTCTACAAAAGGGATGGGCATATAAACAGCATGGAAGGGAAGGTGGGAAGTCAAATTAAAAGAGAAATATATAACCAAATCTGAAGTTTGAAATCAATTGGTTAAAGTTATGAAAATCTTTAAAAGCGAAAGCAAAGGTGCACTTGCGCAATGGGGCTTTCCGCTTCTCAACCCCCATGTGTGGCCCCATGCCCTCCCCCAGCAGCTCTGGGGTGGTGGGTTGGGGACGAAAGAAGGGGTCTTTCCATCTAGCAAGCTGAAATACTTCCTGAGATGGAACATTTGTCACAGGGTAACGCTGGTCATTGTGGGCTAAATGGAACTCTTAAGGTCAGAGCAACAGTACTTCTGGATCCCAGATGCCAGGGCCCAAACAGTGTGCATGTGTGTGTCGGGTGTGTGTGTCCCTTAACTCCCTGCTTCTGGGCACCCCCTTAACATCTGGAGGGACTAAAGCATCTCTTAGTGCAGGCCCCTCACATTCTTCATTTCCATTTCCCTCACATCTTCCAATTCATGCGTTTCGACTTTCCTCCTGCTCAGCCCATCCTCTTTATCCGTAACCCAAGGCTTGCTTTATTTACTGCCTCGACAACCTCGTCAAAAGTCCACATTCCCCTGCCGTGACAACACTTTCTTCCAATATTCTGGTGAATTTTTATGTCAGTTGCTATGTGTGTGTTTTTTGTTCTGACTTAGTGAAATATATTTCTTTCGAGCTGCCTTTGACAAAATGTGTCATTTTTGAACTTTACACTGGATTTCTTGGCTCCGGCTCCCTTTGAGTTACGGCCTCTCTTCCCCTCTCTTGAATAAATTACTCTTCCCACCTTTTAGAGGACTGCTACACTGTCTCCTTCAGTGACCTCTTGTTCTTCATTCTCTTTGAAATTTCTCATTATTTAGTTTAAGCCCTTCTGTGGCCTCCTTTTTCTTTTTCCTGCCATGATTTTTGTTTTGTTTTGTTCTGCAGTCCTCAGCCTTGCCAGTTTTCTTCTTTTCCTGCAGGGGCAAAATCCAAAGCACCCTGGCTGGAGTCCAGATTTGAGTAATTATTTTCTGTCTCCCTAAAACCCTTTTGCCCTGACTATTGTATATGATTCTTAGGGTTCATCTTGGCTTCTTGCCCCGCTAAGCACTGTTGCCTTTTGTTTCCAGACTCTCATGTCTGAGACTGTGCTTAACAAAGAAATGGAGAGTTTTAAAGTATTTAATTGATATATATATTTGCAGTGCACCCAGAAAAAGACTGAGGGGTCCTCCTTACAGCTTACTTATCTATCTAGGTATTGAGATCAATTCCAAGGCTACGGATACCCTGCTACAGATGTCAGAGGAATCTGTTGAAAATGGACTATCAAGCTGATTTCCTTCATCAAGGCATGCATTTTTGCTATGGATGCCTCCGTTTTCCACAATGAAATTTTCTCTCTCTTGTTTTGTACAAGCTGCATTATTACATATTAATTGATGTATAAATGTTGCTGTCCCAACGGGGGCCTCATCACTGTTCTTTTCCCCGAAGTGTCGTTGGTTGATTTTGTGTGCCATAAGATGAGTCAGCCTCTAGGCACTAAGGCTGCAAATCTAACCACGTCTACTTAGAAGTAAGTCCGATTGAGTTCAATGGGTCTTACTCCCAGGTAAGTGGAGTTAGGACTGCAGCCTCAACCCTACTTCCTACTGTAATTTTTTAAAACCACATGGAAAGTACTGATCTTCTGGATTATATCTGTGCTCATCAGTTAAAATCTTAAGAGTTTCAAGCTTTCTTTAGCCTGGGTGTGGAACAAAGCAAGCTAAGCTAAGAGACATCAGGTAGGACCCATAGTCTGGGGCAAGCAACAGTGGGTTCCCCATTTCCCCACTGGGCACACACATATTGCAGGGTGCCGACTTGGACCCTGAATTATGAGTGACCAGTGGCATAGGCGGTGTAATCGTACCCCCCCCCCCAAGTAGCGGCAAGAAGAGACAGAGACAGGGTTGAATTATGACAGGACACTGAACCACCAAGTTATGAAGTATTGGGAGAAGAAGGAGAGGGAGCTGGAGAACAGATAGCAGACACATCTTTAGAGAACCTGGGAACTCCCCCTTCTCCAAGGACAATTAGGATTCAAGGGCAAAGAACGCAGCAACGTTTGCCTCCTGAGACTTTCCGTAGGGACACAGGGTGTTGTTGGGGAAGGAAAAGGAGGGGCTCAGAGTGAGCAACGTCATGATGGCATCCAGGACTAGATTCCTTGTCTTGCTCCACAATTGCTGAATAAAACCACAAATACGAACTTTCTTGTTTCTTCTTTGATCCTGGAGGCTGCCAGGGGAGGAGAGAATCTCTTGAGCCCGACAGGTGCTGATGCTGAGCACCCACAACAATTTTTTTGTGGGTGTCCAAGCCCCCGGGACCCCTATAGCTGGTGCCAGTGACATAATGAGTTTGGGGATATGGACTGATGGGCCTTCCCAGCCGTACCCACAGACTGACAGTGGGCTGACAGTATCATGGTTGCCCTAAGTCAGTCTTTCTCTCCTTTAACTCTAGCCTGCTTGCTGGAGGGAAATGTTATCTCTGTCACCATATGGGATGTCAGAATCCCTGCCCTTGGTGTGATGATGATAATAATAATAATAATAATAATAATAATAATAATAATACTTGTACCCTGCCCATCTGACTGGGTTGCCTCAGCCACTCTGGCCAGCTTCCAACAGAATATAAAGAACATATGATACACCAGACATTAAAAGCTTCCCAACAGAGGGCTGCTATAGCATACAAAGTTGAGCCAATGAAGTCTCTGTGTGGATCTTGCTCTCCTTGTCAGCTCTGCTGTGAGAACAATGGACAGCTTACAGAAAATTTGCCTCCTCTGTCTGTGTCGTGGCTCAGGATTTCCCAGTCCTGAAAGACCAGCATCACACCCTGTCAAAGCTGAGCATTTATTCGGGTTTGCTGCAGCTTGCTGCCAGTGTGCAGCTCAGAGTTGTCAATAGATCCTGGTGGTTGGGTGGACAGAGGCTGGCAGTTTTGCGTATAGGCCCCAGTTTAACGCAGAAAGGGTGTGCAAACCTGAGGATTGGTGAAAGATCCATAGCAGCAAAAGTCTTAATTCTGGGGCTGCATTACAAAAAGCATCTTTCCAAGAGGGGGAAAAAGGAGAAAACATAATTAAGTAAAAGCAATATTCTGCCTGTCATAACCATAGAAACAGCCTGGCTAAGCTGGGGACATGTAAGAATTTTTGCAAATTTGATGCCAATCCATGTGACAGTCAAGAGTGTACACTCTGAGGCTGAATCAGGGAGAATAATTGAAGCCTTGCAGAAATTGCAGAAAGGCAAGCCAGAGTGTGGGTGAACACTTAGCAGTAACTGGAAATTTAATGCACTATAGAGAAATGTGTGTTTCACTTCCTGAAACAAAGGTATACTCATGTCTTTTGGATCTGGACAGAGAGACCATTTGTGATCCTTATTCCAGGAACTGGGACTTGTTAATAAAAGGTGGGGTACAAAACAGATAAGGGGAGAAGTGTACTATTCCTATTGTTATTATTAATCTATTTAAATTGCGCACCACAATAATAAAGTTTTAAAGAATTACACAAGCAAAACAACAGGTCTCTGCTCTGAGGAGCTTGCAATCTAATATTTGACTGGGAGTGTGGGCAGTCAGAACAAGGGGAGGAAAGAGAGAGGCAAGGAAACTTATTTTCATTTTTGTGCGTGCCTCTTTTTTATGGGGCTTGGCAACCCTTGCTGTAAACATATTTGAGTTGTTTCAGTGCCATTCCCCTTAGTTTTTGTTTCCCTGCCTCATTGCAGCCCTTGGTCTCGTTTTCTCACATTGTCATTGACCCCACTGGCTGTCGTGACCCTCGAGAATGGACGGCTGATGTAATGTGTAACATATCAATGAAATCACATTAGTCCCTGCTGCCAATTGGCTTAAATGATAGCGCAGGCCGCGAGGGCATTGGAGAAGGAAGAAAATGGCGGCAGGAAGAAGCAATAGCCAAAGGAGCAAAAGGACACTGAATAATATCAAAACAAAGCAAACATTCAGCCCGGTGGGGCTGTGTCAAATGTGCTACTTTCAAAGGCCCATTACAAACGACCAACTTACCAAGCAGCAAGGGTTTTACTTTGTTAAGAACTAAGTTGTTGAGTCAGGCCAAAAG